TGAATTTGAAACGTTGAAGGTCGCACTTTAGTGTAGTCATAAGTTAGAAAGAAATGTTACTTTGTCAGAAAGAAATTCTACACATGTGGTACAGATGAATCATCATGCTGCTTTTCGCTAATCAGTTTGCCGACCACTGTCCTAGACTACTGAAGGGGAGTGAATATTTCCCAAGTCACTAGCAGACCCTGAGACCTAAATCTGATATAAGTATTACAAGAAAATAAACAAACAAACCACTATAGACAAATATCTCTTATAAACATCAGTGTAAATTTTTTTAACTTTATTTTTATTCATTGTTAGGGAGGGAGAGAGAAAGAGAGTGAGATCAATTTGTTGTTCCACTTATTTATGTATTTACTGGTTAATTCTTATATGTGCCCGGATCAGGGATCAAACCCGTAACCTTGGCGTATTGGGACATGTTCTAACCCAGTGGTCGGCAAACTCATTAGTCAACAGAGCCAAATATCAACAGTACAACGATTGAAATTTCTTTTGAGAGTCAAATTTTTTAAACTTAAACTACATAGGTAGGTACATTCAACTTTAAATTCAACTTTAAATTCACGGTTTTCGTCTTCTGTTTTTCTTTGCTTCTTCTTTGTAGCCATCTCAAACAGGGCACCTAAAAAATGTTTCATTTTATAATAATAAAGCCACCAACACAAAAGAATTACAATTCTTAAATTGATGACAAAAATACCTGTAGGATTTGCAGCTGGTTGGAAAAATACAGGTAACTTTATGCTTCAAGTAGGTACTTTTGTCACCTGTGCGATTTGCGGACGCGACTAGCACTAACCACTGCACATGAGACCGCTGACTGGCTCACGCAACTCGTGCATGAATCGCGCGCGCCTCCCCCGCGCTGCTTATCCCGCGGCCCGCCTGCGCCGCATCTCACACCCCCCACTTCTTCTAACACCACGTCTTCAGAATAGACTCGCCCAGGCCGAAAACCGACTTCTGCGCATGGGCCACGAAGTTTCAATCGCACTGTACGTGCGCGCCCGCACGTGGTATTTTGTGGAAGACCCACACTCAAGGGGCCAAAGAGCCGCGTGTGGCTCGCGAGCCGCGGTTTGCTGACCACTGTTCTAACCAATTAAGCAACCCAGCCAAGGCCGATGCAATAATTCTTAAAGTGTTAGCAAATCAATCCAACAACAAATTAAAAAACCTTATTTTAATATATTGTGGTCAAGTGAAATTTATCCCAGAAACACAAGATTTGTTTACCATTGCAAAATCAATGTAATTCATGATAAAAACAGGCTAAAGAAGAAAAGATGTACTTGTGTCAATAAAGGCAGAAAAGGCTTCTGCATCCTTTCTTGATAAAAACTCTCAGCACACTAGTAATAGAAGGGAATTCCCCCAATCTGATCGAGGGCACCTATAAAAGATTAAATGCTTTCTCCATAAGATCAGGACCATAAAAATGTGTACTTTTCTATTCAACACTGTTCTGAAAGGTCTAGCCGATGCCATAAGGCAGAAAAAAAAAAAAGGAACCAGATTGGAAAGAAAGAAGCTCATTTATTTTATAAACTGTCTTAATTTGCAGACATGCTCATCTATATTTTTAAAAATCATATAGAATCTACCCAAAAAAAGCTTCTAAAGTGAGTTTAGCAAGGTTGTAGGCTACAAGATAAAATTCAGAAATAAATTTTATTTTATATAGTAGCAGTGAGAAATTGGAAACTGAAGTTTATAAAACAATACTCTAGCATTAAAAAAAAAAAAGAAGAACCAGCAGCCCTTGAAGATACATTGGACAAAAAAAATGCATTTTTTTAAAGAAGTATGTGTCTATCATTTTACCTTTTTAAAAAATATATATTTTTTATTGATTTCAGAGAGGAAGGGAGAGGGAGAGAAACATCAATGATGAAAGAGAATCACTGATTGGCTGCCTCTTACATCCCATATACTGGGGATTGAGCCCACAACCCAGGCATGTGCCTGAACCATGTCCAGCATGGCCAGTGTTGAACTTGAGGAGGGGCAGTGAAGGATTAAAGAAAACAGGAGAATACAGTTAGGACCAGGTGGATCACTGTGCCTGGATGAGGAAACAGTGATGTGGCTTTATTTTATAGTCAGATCACACAAAGCAAAACAAGGGCAAGATGTTTACAATGTTCTTGCGAATTTCAAATCTGCTTCTTTCCTATTATTCCCATTCTCTGAACTCTATCAAGCCTTGTTTAGGCAGCACTTGCTGCACCTCCCGCAGCCCACATCCCTTAGCGACGTCGGACTGCAGGGTCGGACTATACAGTCAAGCTTATAACCATAGCCTTTTAGCTATACTTGTGCTGGCAGGGTTGTGCCCTCCAAGCTGGGACTTGTATGTGGCTTTGCCACAAGTCAGTCTGAGGCTTGATCCTGTCCGAACGCTGTAGCCGCTCTCCACATGTGCCCTTGACTGGATTTAAATCCTGGACCCATCAGTCTGCAAGTCGATGTTCTGTCCACTGAGCCAAACCAGCATTCTTCCACTAAAACTACCAAATACTGCTAAAAGAAATTAAAGAAGGCCTGAATAACTGAGAAGACATCTCATGTTCATGGGTCAGTGGGTCAGTACTGTTAAAATGTCAATTTTTCTACCAAACTGCATTCAAGAGTCAATGCAATCCCAATAAAAAGCCCTAGAGACTTTTCTGTAAAAATTTACAACCTGATTCTGAAATTTACATAGAAATACAAAGAACTTAGAATAGTCTAAACAATTTTTTGGGGGAAAAAAAAAGTTAGAGGACTAATTTTACCTGACTTTAAGACATACTAGAAAGCCACAATAATCAACACAGTTAGTTACTGGTGTAAAGACAGACAAATAGATTGATGAAATAAAATAGAGTCCAGAAATAGACTGAGATGTATATGGTCAATTCACTTTTCCTAAATGAGCCAAGGATATTCAATGGGCATAGGATAATCTTTCCAACAAATGGTACTGGAACAACAGGCAACCATAGGCCAAAAAAATAAATAAAATAAAAAATCTTGACTCTTACACCACGCACAAAAATTAACAACTGAAAATAGATTATAGACTTAAATTTAAGATAAAGTCTTAGTGACCTTGGATTTGATAATTTACATAATACATAAATACATTTACATAAAACTTAGAAAAGACAAACTTCAGCTGAAACCGGTTTGGCTCAGTGGATAGGGCGTCGGCCTGCAGACTGAGGGGTCCCAGGTTCGATTCCGGTCAGGGGCATGTACCTGGGTTGCAGGCACATCCCCAGTAGGAGATGTGCGGGAGGCAGCTGATCGATGTTTCTCTCTCATCGATGTTTCTAACTCTCTATCTCTCTCCCTTCCTCTCTGTAAAAAATCAATAAAATATATTTAAAAAATATATATATATTAAAAAAAAAAAGACAAACTTCAAAGAAAAAAAGTATTAATCAGTCTTCATGAAAATTAAATACCTTTGTTCTTTATGCATTAGTTTTAAGAAAATGAAGACTTTCTTTTTCTCAGACTTGGAGAATAAATTTGCAAAACATAATGCCTGAAAAAAGACTTTTATCTAGAGTATATAAAGAACTCATAATAATTAATAAAAAGGTAAATAACCCAATACTTATATGAAGGAAAGATATGAACACTTTACCAAAGATATACAGATAAATAAAGATACCCAGCATCATTAGTGATTACGGAACTACAAATTAAAACCACAAGAAAACATTACATGCCCATTAAAATGGATGAAATTAAAAAGACTAATCATACCAAGTGTTGGTGAGGATGTGGAGCACATTGGGATTCTAACAGATTGCTGGTAGTGATGTACAATGGCACAATCACTTTGAAAAACAATTTGGTAGTGAAATACACATATGATCCCACCATTTCATTCCAATGCTAAATATCTAACTCAAGAGAAATGAACAACTTGTACAAGAAGCTTTATTTGCAATAGCCAAAAACTGGAAACTCAAATGCTTATCAACAGGTGGAGAAATGATGGTATATCCATACAACAGACTACTACTCAGCAATAAAAACGGAATGAATTACTGATGCACACATATGGATAATCTCCAATTAATGGTGAAAGACAAATTAAAAAGTACATATATGGTATGGTACATATATTACTTTTATGTAATTCTAGAAAATTCAAACTAATCTACAGTGACAAAGCCAGTCAGTGCCTGGGAACAAGAGGAATAACTAGAGGAATTATAAAAGAGAACAAGGAAACTTTTGATGGTGGAGTGGGCATCTTCATTACCTTGGCTAACGGGGTTTCATGGATGTACACAACACATGTCAGATGGTGCACATCTATTCCCAATTCTTTGTGTAGAGGTATCATATTGATAGAGGGAACTTGGCCAGGGTGGAAGTATTTACACCACAGAAATTGGAAAATGCTACCACAAAATCAGGGCTTTTTCTTGGACAGCTAGTTGTTAAACATTACCAGCCCATTCCTAGCTATAACATACATAAATAACAGTTCATTGAAATTCTTAATTTTTAATTGCCACAAAGAATTCCCAGAACCATTAGGCTAAAAACTTGCCTTTATCAAGGTAAAAAGTATTACTAGAGAGAAAAAACAAAAAGAGAGACTTTCAGACACTTACTCCTATCAAGAAAAACTCTTTTGCCCTGGCTGGTGTGGCTCAGTTGGTTGGGCGTCATCCTGTGCACTGAAAGGTTGCAGGTTGGAGTCCTGATAAAAACGCATGCCTGAGTTGTAGGATAGATCCCCGGTTGGGGGGTGAGCAGGAGGCAGTTGATCAATATTTCTCTCTCTCTCAAAATCAATTAATAATCTTTAAAAAAAGACACCTCTTGCAGAGACATACTTAAGTTGCCTGACTGCCACATCCAGCACGGCTAGGGTTCAGAATCTAAAAAGGGGCTGCACACAAATGAAAACACTAGACAAGAAATATGAATTTAGAAGGCATGGGGGGCCAGGTGGAAACCTCTGTCTAGAGGAGAAGCTCCCTGAAACCCTGGCCTTGTCAGCTTTTATTCAATTTTAGATACACATCTTGCCCTCAGTTAAGCACGGCAAACAGGTAGCAGACAATCTCAAAGGTCAGTAAAGATTTACTTTGAGGCTATTAGGTCAGGAAATTGCTTCAAGCCATCGCTATCTCAACACAGAACAATCAGTGCATAGCTTTTAGCCCTGCTAAAACTCAAGATTCATCAGCCTTCCGAGTTCCTTGATGCACTCTCATGATAGCATTGACAATGGATGGCTTCCTGCACCTGACCAAATGCTTCTACTGCCATCCTCCCACAGGCCTCACTGCTGACACAGTCTTGCCCCTAAGACCTGGAGAGTTTGGGGTCAACTCTTTAGCTCCTTCTCGAAGGCTGCAACAGGGACTGCCATCTCCCCTACAAACACCAAGGACCCATCACCCTGCTTTCCACAGCTACTCATAAACCCAAAATATAACTTTAAGGTACTGCTGAAAACAGTATACCCACTTTCTACATAACGGATTCCAATTCTAGCAATGAGATAAGAGGTTTATGACACAAATACATTTGTATCAGGTAAATCAACCACCAGAATACCCAAATCTCATATTTTTATCAACTTCTTTGACGTAATTTAATTATGGAATAAGGTTTGGAACCATCCCCTTCTCCTCCCGCTCTTCAATGCCCAGCCTGAGTCCTTTTTGCCTATTTAATATGGTGTGGAGAGTATCAGTGTGCTGAAGTTCCATCATCTCAATAGAAAGTTCCCAGGAAAGGAAGGCTAAAATAAAAAACAAACAAACAAAAAGGATCCCCATTAAAGAATTCAGCAGGGAATTGATGTTGCAGAAACATGTTTTCCTATTTCATGACACATTGGAAACACGAACCTTAGGGCTTTTTCGCCTCCACAGCATAGAGGTCTGATCGCTTCTGGTTAAATATGGGGATTTGCTGGCGTATTTCAGTCACCTTCTTCAAGTCTGCAAAAACAGGAAAGTGCACTATTAATAAGATTAACTCTTCACTAACCAAAGGGATTTTTCCTCCCAAACAGTATAAAAACTACCAGTCTCAGCAAGTAACTCAGTAATACAGGCCTTGTCTAGAGGCACAGCTGGCCTGGCACAGCCCCTGGAGTCACTTCAAACCAAACCAAAATAACTCAAAATGAACAAAATGAACTGTAGCCCTGAAGACTCGACCAAGAACCAAGGATAAACTCGGGAGGGGCGGAGGGGGGGGGACAAAGGAACTCCTCCAGGTGACAGGCTGCCCCAGCTATGGAATCTGGCCTCAGAGCATTGGGGATGCCAGAGACCTAACCTGATGCCCTGGGCGAGGCAGATCTTACCTATGTCTGAATACACGATCGTCTCTTCAGTGCCAGCTTTGGCCAGGACCTCCCCCCTGAAAAAGATTCAGGGGAGGTGAGTGGGTTCACTGACATTTGCTGATATTCAAGACCTCTCTCTGTCTTTTCTCCCCATCTGACAGGCCAAAGGGCAAGGAATCCGAGATTTAAAACCAGAAAGTAAGGATATAAACTCCTGTTCTACCATTTAAAATGCTGTGTGGCCCTAACCGGTTTGGCTCAGTGGATAGAGCATCGGCCTGCGAACTCAAGGGTCCCAGGTTCGGTTACAGCCAAGGGCATGTACCTTGGTTGCAGTCACATACCCAGTGGGGAGTGTGCAGGAGGCAGCTGATTGATGTTTCTCTCTCATCAATGTTTCTAACTCTCTATCCCTCTCCCTTCCTCTCTGTAAAAAAATCAATAAAATATATTAAAAAAATAAAATAAAATGCTGTGTGGCCTTAAGCCAAGTCACTTTTAATAAATTATAAAGTGGAAATAAAAGCTCTGCTAGGATTTAGTGAGAAAATTATGGAGTATATTTTCTAAACTGCAAACTCCTAGTTTTCTTATTCCATGACATAAACATCTGGGCCAGAGCCACGTATAACCAAAGGGAGGTGCCCCCCACCCCCTCAGGAGTGCATGTCCACAGGAATCCTTCACAAGGGCGGTCTGGCTCTGCTTCTTCACCCCTCCCAGGGCTGCTCCCTGACTCTGGGAGAGTGAGGCAGGCCCTGGGCATGGCCCAGATCTGTGTGGACCTCTGGTCTTACTCCTGTGACCCCTGCAGCCCTATGTTAAGGGCCTTCCGTGTTTGAAGGAAAAGTTTCAATCTGTGGGTATGAGTAGCAGTGCTGGGGAAACCACACCCGGCAGGAGCCCCACACCTGGAGACAACAACACTCCTTCATAAATCTGGGGAAAGGCTGATCTGGAAAACACTTCTGGTGCTGCATCTCCCCACCCAACGCAGGGCTTCCAACACAGACCTAGGGAAATGCCATCTCTCCAAAGCACAGCACAAGGTAACGGGCATAACAAACAATCTCACATGGTAACTGGTTCTGTTTACCTGACGGCCGCTAACAGATTTGGCACAAATGAGCTACAAACACAATTATTAATGCCGTTTAACTGAATCCTTTCCTATTCTCTTTCTCTTTCTTCCTCATTTTCCCTGGCATTCAAAGATCTCTCTCTATGTTAACCCCAGGCACCCATCCCAAAGTCAATATAAGTCAGAAGGCCCCAAACCCTACAAACGGAATTCTGAAAAGGAAGAAATTAAGGTAAATCTTGAAGAGTTACTCTGTCAGAAGCGGCTGGCCTGGCCAGCACCAGAGTTCATCAGCAGAGCCAGGCAAAGCAGAGGTGCATCACTAATATCTGGGCAGAGGGACTGGAATCACGTCCGAGAAAATTTTCAGGCCAACTTAATCCTTCCAGTTTCCCAATGCCCCCCACATCCTGATGTGCAGGGAATCTCTTGCTGGTCACATTTTCAAGGACTCCCCTTATCACATGCTTTAATCTGTGGGTCCTATAGAGTCTGAAGAGACCCCACAGTGACCAGGGACCCTTCTCAGCCTTGTTACTGGTATGTGCATCCTGAAATTGTAGAAATACGTATCTGTTTGTGTGTGCGAGCGTGTGTGTGATCATACATATGGCATAAATCCAAGTTCTGAAGTCAAAACCTGGATCCAAACACCAGTTCTAGCCACTTTAGCCTGTGAACTTCAATTCCACCATCTATAAACCGGGCTTACCAGAAGGTAAGTCCCTGACGTTCACACTGAGACCACGTGTAAAAGTGCTGTGTGGACTGCAGGTAGAGACCATGGTACGTGCATCAGTGCAAGCCTGCATGTGCACCTGGGCAGACTCTCATGCTGGTCTCGCTGAGCAGTAAAATGCTCCGCCCTCTCACAGAGGACAAACTCCGTTTCCCTTATTGAACCCATCCGCCCCCTCCTCTAAGTATTCCAGGAGCAGAATCCTCACCCTGTAACTCATTCCTGCCTGAGGCCCCGTCACCCAGTCTAAATTTTAACCAAAAGCCGAGAATTGGAGGCCTGTTTCACTAGAACTGCCACCCATCACTGCTGCCCTCCCCTATGATCCAAGTCTGACTGACAACAGACACTCAGAAGAGGGCGAAGGCCAGGCCTCAGTCAGGAGAGCAGGGCCGTTTCTTTCTCACATGGTCCTCAAGTGGAAGCTTCCTCACAGGAGAGGCAGCCACCCGGCAGGCACCGGACCCGGGGGGTGAGGGGCAGGGCCAATCACCAGTCAGTCAGCCCACCCGCCCAAGTGAGCTCCTAGCGAGCCTGCCCCTGCTCAGGCCACTCACCAAGGATTCACGACAGTGCTGTGTCCCCAGGCAACATAGGAGGCTTTGTCGTCTCGGGCCGGAGATGCAGTGGCCACATACACCTGGTTATCAACAGCCCTGGAGTCAATGGAAGAAAACAGGGATATTATGCATTAATAGATCTGAGGCACTTTCCTATCCTAAGTGAACCGATCCTTCTTTTCAAAACTAGGATAGGACAGGCTGGCTCAGATGTAGAAGGAAACACGCAAAGCCACGGAACCCTCTCTTCAAAATCATCTTATTACTTAAGCCAGTTCTCATTGGGGCAATTTTGGCCAGCAGGGGACATCTGCCAGTGTCTGAAGACCTTTCTTTTTTAAAAAGAAATTTTTTATTGATTTCAGAGAGAGAGAGAGAGAGACAGAAAGAAACATCAATGATGAGAGAGAGTCATTGATTGGATGACTTCTGAATGCCCCACCCTGAGGATTGAGCTGGCAACCCAGGCACATGCACTGATCAGGAATCAAACCATGACCTCCTGGTTCACAGGTTGATGCTCAATCGCTGAGCCACGCCTGCCGGGTTGGAGATTTTTTAATTGTCATAACTAGGGGGATGCTATTCGCATCCAGTGGGTGGAAGTCAGAAATGCTGCTAACCATCCTACAGTGCACAGGGAGCCCCCCACAACACAGAATAATCTAGTCCAAAATGTTACTACTGCCACAGTGGACAGACTCTGGCCTGAGCCAACCACTAAAAGAACTTCTCTGGGGTTAATGCAAGCCAAGGTGGCCAAAGCCAATGGGTTGGCCTTGATAGGGCAATACACATTGAGGGCTATATGGCACTTCCATGCCAATGGTGGCCGTGCCATCATCTCAGGTTAGATCAGAACTTCAGGTGTCCAGCCTGGGTACACCAAGCCACCTCACCTGGGAGCTCTCTGGGCTCAATCAATAGATCCATGCTAGTCATGCAGGTCTCTCCCAAGCTTTTCTTGCTTTACACTTTCACTGCATTTATTAATATTCATAACACACACCCCTACCCCCCCTTCTACAATGCAACCAGGCAAACACCTCTACATCCCCCTGCAATAAAAATTACCATCATCTCTAGAAGGGAGAACAGTAGCCACCTCTAGGCAGAGAGAAAAGGCCACTGACTAGGAAGGAGCAAAAGGGACCATTCTAGGGATTGGGAAATGTTCCATATGTTGATCTTGATTGAAGGGGGTACATACGTCAACATTCACTGACCGGCCTGTAGAGGCAAAATTCGTGCACTTTTCTGTAAGTGTATTATACCTCAATTTAAAAAACATTTAATCAAGCCCGGCCAGTGTGTCTCAGTGGTTGAGCATTGACCCATGAACCAGATGGTCAGGGTTCGATTCCCAGACAAGGCACATGCCTGGGTTTGGGGCTCGATCTCCAGTAGGGGGCGTGCAGAAGGCAGCCTATCGATTTTCTCTCCTCATTGATATTTCTATCTCTCTTCCTCTCTGAAATCAATAAAAATATCTTTTTAAAAAAATGCATCAAACAAAAACATTTAATAAAGAAACCCATCGTCTCTGACAAGCATTTCATGGTTTGCAGAGCAGTTTACACACAGTCACACTCCTTTTCCCTTCCATATTCCATCCACCCTTGTTACCTGCCTTTCACTGCTCAGCCTCAGAGGTCTAAGGAAACATCAGAGATAGATAGTTGTGTGATGCCCAGCATTTAGAGGTTAGAAGCACAAGGGTTTATAACGAGGTTCCTGGCAGAGCATCCCCGGGACTAGCAGGCTGCTGTGGAAGTTGGGGTGGGGTAAGCACCCCAATCAAACAGCACAGGGTCAGCTGTGTGAAGACCACAATCCTCTCCCCTGGGCTGTCAGGCTAAAATAACTCCTGCTTTTCCTGGGCTTCTGGGCTCTGAACATACATACTCCTTGGGTCTCCAATTCTATGTAAAAGTTGCCGGCAACTGTCTCAGGGAAACCAGCTCACATCTAATCACAGTAAATGAAATCGCTGCCCACTTGATGCACTAAAAGCTCTTGGAAATGCAAAACCAGTCTCCCAAAATCTAAGAGATTGGTGCTGTGGCTTCTGAAGAGAAGGTTCCCAGCAGAAGCCTTCCCTTTGGGCTGAAAGACGAAAAGATGCACCTATTTGAAATGCAATTGGATGCTGCGGAATTGAGTCACAGGCACCATTCTGTACCAGGAAGGCTGGCACTTTGACCACCCTGAAATCTTTCCACAGAGAAACGCTGGGATGCTGGAAGGTATGCTGATATGCTGTCTTACCGGCCTCGCTGAAGCAACTCCCAGTGAGCTGGTCCAGTGGTCAAATTAAAAGCTCCAGGATAGACCAACAGCTGGCAGCCTAGGGGAGAGGGAGGCCGAGAGTCGGTGAGAGGAACACCTCACCTCCCTGGTCCCGCCCTTTGCTCTCCACCAGTGAAGACCAAACTCCAACTTTCCCACACATAAAAGTCAGTGCTGGCAACATTAGGTTATGGCTCTGAATTCTCTTAGAGACACTTGCGTGATGCAGACGGACACACGAGAAAAGTGGTATTGATAACCAACACCACATGTGAGTTCGCTTAAAAAAAAAGGGGGGGGGACTATCATTCAGATTTCTCTCGGCACCAGAGGGTCAGCTCTGCATGGCCGAGGGTCACGCTCTATAATTCCCTTCACCTGAAAGGAGGGGCAGAGGAGGTGCTTCTAGGCTCAGGGACAAGACTCCACAGAGTCTGCCGACCCAGAGTCCAAGCCTCCGCCTTTCCCAGAGCAGGCAAACTGTCGGCATCCACCTCACTGCATTCAGTGACAGCTGATTCAGAACCAGAGTAGCTTCAACAGGCTAGTAGGGCTGCTAATATTTGTTGAGTGCCATACAAGGAGCTTTAATAAGTTCTCTCTCCTTCGTCCTCACCATCCCTATGAGAAAACTGGGAGCCACAATGAAATGAAATCGTTTACCCAAAGTATCATACCAGGTAGGGGAAAGAGTTGGAACCAGAACCCAGATCTTCTGACGTGGTTTGGTGCTAGGTGGTAGGACACCTTTTCTCTGGACCAAAATGTCACTGACTACATTTCCACTGCACCCACTATCTAGGACTATGCATAGTGAAATCCACGAGGAACAGACCATGTTTTCATTTCTACTGGGCTCCAAGGGACTCTTTGCAAACACAGTAGCAGGAAGGGCTGGAAGGGTGGAGCAGATGTTTAAGAGTCTGGCTCCTGCCTTAGCCGCATGGCGTGCTAAATCACAACCTCTGGAAAACCACACTGTCCATACACAGCAAAAGTGTGAGAAGCCAGATGGGGGTGGAGAGGTTAAGACCTCTCCTCCAGCTTTTCCGACTAAGGGCTCCCTCTATCCATTCAAACCTCCAAGCACCCACACAACACAACCACAGTGCTGCCCTACCTCTCTGCGCGTAGACTTGTGCAAGCTCTGCAAAGCGGATGTCGTAGCAGATGCCTAGGCCCACTCGGCAGTAAGCTGTTTTCAAACAGAAAACGCACAAGTGAAAGTTAGCCTGCAGCATGGTGTGAGGGTAAAGCCTCTGAGCTAATATCACTGACCGATGGGGATACACAGGGCCCATGGTGGAGAAAATCTATAAGCTTGATCTTGCTTGGATGTCACCTCGTAAAGACGTCATTTACGTCAGCAGAGTAGAAATGAGAAATTCATTCTAACTGAATGCTTATTATCTAAGTGAGAGGTGCTCAATTATGGCCTAACAAGTTCACTCTGGAAACTATCACACTAATAGGAGGCTGTAGCCAAATGGAAGAGCAAAGTCATGTCAAACTCTTTAGTTCTCCATTCAGCCCGCCCTTTCCAGATCTCTGACCGCTCTCTGCCCTTCTCACTTCTGGCCTTTCAGCCAGGTTATGTAAGGAAACTGGGGAGTGCTCTAGCTGGTTTGATTCAGTGGATAGAGCAGTGGTTCTCAACCTTCCTAATGCCGCGACCCTTTAATACAGTTCCTCATGTTGTGGTGACTCCCAATTTCATTGTTACAAATTGAACATAATTAAAGCATAGTGATTAATCACAAAAACAATATGTAATTATATATGTGTTTTCCAATGGTCTCAGGCGACCCCTGTGAAAGGGTCGTTCGACCTCCAAAGGGGTCGCGACCCACAGGTTGAGAACCGCTGGGATAGAGCATTGGCCCAAGGACTGTAGGGTCTCGGGTTCAATTCCAGTTAACAGCATGTAGGCTGGATCCCTGGCCTGGGTCTGGGTGAGTGCTGGAGGCAACCAATTGTATCTCCTTCACATCAATGCTTCTTTCTCTCTGTCTCTCCCCCTCCCTTCCACTCTCTCTAAAAATCAATGGAAAAATATCTTGGGGGTGAGGATTAATTTTTTTAAAAAAAGAAATTAGGGAGGGGCATAATAAAGAAAACAACAACAAAGGAATACCTGGTCCTCTTTTACTGGGACTGCAAAAAGAGGTGGACTTATCTGGTACGTACGAGTCTCAAATGTAGAGAAACTATCACCAGGACTCAATGTTTTAGATTCTTGAAATGTGATTTTCCCAGGAACATCAATGTCAAACAGATGGAGCTGCAGCACAAATACAGGCTTCAGTTACCGCTTTTCCAGCAGAGTTCATGGCAATAAAAACAATCTGTCCACGGCCAGATATGGGGGGTGACCTAAGAGCAACTGTACAAACAGCACCGCAACATGCCCACAACCCACCCCACCATCCGACACTATCAAAATGAATTCTAACACAGGAAATGGGACCATGATATTGTAGGTTTTATGACCCTTCTTTCCTAGGTGGTGTACAAATCAATGTCTAGATTTCTTATGGGAAGATTTTTATTCAATATAAATGCTACATGAAGACTCCTCAATCAGAATCAAACTGACACATGGGCAGGAGAGGAGGAGAGTGGGTAAGCAATTAAAATAGGTCAAATTTTACAAACCAAATGCAGCAATTTACAAAAAGAATAACTTCCAAATTGGTTTCTGATTTATTACACTAACACAGTGGTCGGCAAACTCATTAGTCAACAGAGCCAAATATCAACAGTACAACGAGTGAAATTTCTTTTGAGAGCCAAATTTTTTAAACTTAAACTATATAGGTAGGTACATTGTTATTAACTTAATTAGGGTACTCCTAAGGCTTAGGAAGAGTCACACTCAAGGGGCCAAAGAGCTGCATGTGGCTCGCGAGCCGCAGTTTGCTGACCATGGCACAGAATAAAGGAGAAAAGTCATATGAGCATCTTAGGTGCATAATGAGCATTTGGTAAACTTCAACATCCATTCTTTTTTAAAAAAATATATTTTTTTACTGATTTCAGAGAAGAAGAAGAGAGAGAGAGAGAGAAACGTCAATGATAAGAGAAAATTCTCATTGATCAGCTGCCTCCTGCACATGCCCTGGGGATTGAATGTGCAACCCCAGCATGTGCTCTGACCAGGAATCCAATGGTTACCTCCTGGTTCATAGGTCGACGCTCAATCACTGAGCCACACCAGCCAGGCCATCCATTCTTATTTTATTACTAGAGGCCCGATGCACAAAATTTGTGCAAGGAGCTCGGCCCTCGCAGCCCCGGCTGCCTCGGCTAGCCCTCGCAGCCCTCGCAGCCCTCGCACCCCTCGCAGCCGCAGCCCCTCACAGCCTCAGCTGCCCAGCTGGCCCTCGCAGCCCCGGCCGGCCCTTGTAGCCCTGGCTGCTTTGGCCAGCCCTCGCAGCCCCAGCTTCATCCAGAAGGTCGTCCAGACAGCTGTTCGGTCTAATTAGCATATTAGCTCTTTATTATATAGGATTATTTTTTAAAATATATTTTTATTGATTTCAGAGAGGAAGGAAGAGGGAGAGAGATAGAAACATCAATGATGAGAGAGAATCATTGATCAGCTGTACACCCAACACTGGGGATTGAGCCTGAAACCCAGGCATGTGCCCTGATCAGGAATCAAACCATGACCTCCTGGTTTATAGGTCGATGCTCAAACACTGAACCATGCCGTCTGGGCATCCATTCTTATTTTAAAAACAAAAATGGAAAACTCTTCTAGTAAGGGAATTTCCTTAGTCTGATAAGAGTATCTAAAAAACAACACTAAAGAAACACTGTACCTAATGGTGCCATATTAAAAGCCTTCTCTTTTAAGATCAGGAACAATACAAAAACACCTACTATTGAAAACTCTATCAGAGGTCCTAACCAAAGCAATAAGGCAAAAGAAAGTAATAAAATGTATAAGGATTAGAAAGAACACAAATTGAATCTGTGATCAGAATATATAATTGCTGCTGGAGACCAATTCCAGCATGACAGCAGGACTGCATCTGGGAATGGCTGAAGGTATTTCCCCAAACCTGAATAGGATACATTAAATTGATTTCTTGGCTGCCAGACAGCTAAAGGGCATCTTAATCTACATGTTATTGCCTCCTACTGGCCAAACACCTGGACAGCCGTAGGATAATTCCCCCATTCTGACAATGGACTCTGTATTGAAACCCTGACCCTTTGAAGTGTATATCTCTGCCTCGCCTCAGGACAAATTGTGTTAATAAAAAGCATGGGGTCCTGGGGACGAGGAGAACCTAAGGCCTTAGACCTGAGACCTGAGAATTTAGATCTTGGATCTTAGCTCCTTTAGCTAAGCTCCTCTGACCCCCAAATGCCTTTCAAAATTATACTTCGTCTCTGGACTCTTATTTAAAATCTACGCACAGCCTTCTCCAGATTTCTGAACCCTTCTTGATGCTGGGACAAGAACCCCGGCAAGTTGCATATCTAGAAACTCCAAAGGAAACCTACAGATGAATTATTAGAATTAATGAGTGACATTAGCAAGGTTACTATTATGTACAAGGTCAATATTTTTATAACTAATTGTACTTCTATTTATACTACCAAAAAACAGAAAATGAAAGGGCATCAAAAAATACCCATGAAGAATAAACCTAGCAAATGATATATAGACTATACCCAAAAAACTATAAAAACAATTTGAAATATTTATTTATTTATTTTTAATATATATTTTTGTTGATTTCAGAGAGAAAAGGAGAAGGAGGGAGAGAGATAGAAACATCAATTATGAGAGAGAATCACTGATCGGCTGCCTCCTGCATGCCCCACACTGGGGATTGAGCCCACAACCTGGGCATATTCCCCAATCGGGAATCAAACTCCGACCTCCTGGTTCATACGTCAATGCTCAACCACTGAGTCCCACCAGCTGGGCCAATGTGACATTTCTAAAAGCCTACATAAATGGAGGGATATATGCCACATCATGGACATATATGCACTTAAAAGAATGGAGTTAATAGCTCAACCTGGCTCCTCTTCTTGAAATGGCAGAGTGGCTCCTATCAGACCTATTAGCTTTCTCATAAGTAACTATGAACCTGGACAAAATAAAAAGCGCTGGAGAATGATCAACATCAGGGAAAAACTGAAGGGAAGTCAATACTTAGAAGGGAATAACACTGGGTGAGTGTCCCATTTGTTTACTGCTCTTGGTTGGAAGCAAGGCCCCAGTTGTTGTTGGGAATAGTGGGGAAAACTACCCACAATCACATTGGCTTGAGAAACCCGAAAACAGTTTCACAGCAGCTGGGAAGTGAGGGGAAAATCCTGAAAAGGATAAAATCAAAGAGAAAGAGCACAAAATTCTACATATGCAATTGCGGGCATCTCTGGCTCACCACTGAATTACAGATGTGTGGGGCAGACCCCAACATGACCAAGATGTGGTAATTACCAAAAATTTTAAAGCAGCTATTGAAACTAAGCTCAAGAGTATGAAGAAAAATATGCTCGCAATGAATTAAATAGAAATATTGGTAGAGAAATAAGAGCTATAAAAAGGAACCAAATGAGCCCAGCTGGCATGGCTCAGTGGTTGAGCATCAACCTATGAGCCAGGAGGTCACAGTTCGATTTCTGATCAGGGCACATGCCGGGTTGCGGGCTCCACTGTGGGCGTGCAGGAGGCAGCCTGTCAATGATTCTCTCTCATCATTGATGTTTCTATCTCTCTCTCCCTCTCCCTTCCTCTCTGAAATCAATAAAAATACACTTAAAAAAAAAAAAAAAAGAACTGGAAAATTTTAGAACTGAAAAATTCAGTAACTGAAATTTTTAAAAATTTCATTGGATTGGGTTATAGGAGATTGGAGATTACAAAAGAAAGATTCAGAATATAAATTAGTGGAAATTGTCCAATCTGAAGAAGAGAAAGAAAAAAGGTTGGGAAAATAAAAACAAAGAACCAGAGCCTTGGTGACCTGGTTTGGAGGAACAGTATCAAAACTGGAATCCTATAAAAAGAGAATGGGACAGAAATATCTGTAACAAAATTATGTCCCCAAATTTCCTACATATGGTGGAAGACTAAAATGTCAAGTTTCATGAAGCACAACAAATACAAAGAAAACCACCTAGCCCTAACTGGTTTGACTCAGTAGATAGAGCGTTGGCCTGCAGACTGAAAGGTCCCAGGTTCGATTCCAGTCAAGGGCATGTACCTTGGTTGCGGGCACATCCCCAGTGGGAGGTGTGCAGGAGGCAGCTGATCAATGTTTCTCTCTCATTGATGTTTCTAACTCTCTCTCTCTCTCTCCCTTCCTCTCTGTAAAAAATCAATAAAATAATTTAAAAAAAAAAAAAAAGAAAGAAAACCACCTAGGTACCTGAGAGACAAAATATTAACCACTAAAAAATACACAAGAGAAATCTTGAAGGCAGGCAGATAAAAACACAAGTTACACATAAAGAACTATAATACAAGTTACCACTAACTAATCAGGAAAAAAAGAAAAAAGAGGCTAGAAGATAATTGAAAAAGGTCTCTCCAACTGTTAGGGAAAAAATAAAACTGTCAACCCAGAATTCTATTCCACCAAAAACCTCTGTCAAGAATGAAGGCAAACTAAAGATGTTCATAAACAAAAAATAAGAAAATTCATAGCTAGTAGATCCTCACTACAAAAAAAGCGAAGGGAGGTCTTTCTTTTTGAAGGTAAAAATACCAGATAGAACTAGGATCTTCAGGAAGGTTAGGAAAATATCAATGGTAAATATTTGAGTAAACAAAGATTTCTATTTTAAAAATACATTCTTTGTGAAATTTACAATGTATGTAGACACAATATGCGTGTCAACCATAGTTTAAAAATGGTAAGGGCTTAGAAATTTCATATGAAGAAATATAATATTAACTCTAAGTAGACTGTGATAAAATAAGGGTGTATATTGTAATGCCTAGGGCAACAACAAAAAAAACAGCAGAGGAGGTATAATTTAAAAGCCAATGGACAAATTAAAATGGAATTCTAAAAAATACTCAACCCCAAAGAATGCAGAAAAGAAGAATAACAGAAATAAAAAAAACCAGTTAAATGTCTATGTGCTTAAATCCATCCATATCAATAATTATCTATATGTATAAAAGGCTGTCTGTCCATCTGACTGGTAGCTATGATACGCATTGACCACCAGGGGGCAGACGCTCAATGCAGGAGCTGCCATGAGGCGAATTGGCCATTTAAAAATAAACGGCACCATGGACCTGGCACTGACAAACCAACACTCAGCTTTCCCCACGCGGGACACAGGCCCTGCCACCATCCGGGAGTGATACTCCACCAATTGCAGCCAATGCTGCCAAGACCCCATGGTGCAAAATGCGGCCCACAGCCCAGCCCAGCCCAGCCTGGAAATGGTGGCTGTGGGAGCTGGGTAATGACGTCATGTAGCAACACCTGGCTTCCTCTCCCTAGCACCTAGCCTCCTTTCAGTTTCTTCAGTCCAGGAACCCAACTTGCTTTATAGCCAGCTGTAAACATTTCACACTGTAACCAAATGTTTGTGAAGCGTTTTTATGTGCATCTCATTTGGTCCTCACAGAAGTCCTGGAGTAGGTAGATAGGAGACTCGGTAGAATCCTATTTTTCTTTTCATTAGCAAGACGCAAATAGCGATATTAAAATATTTCTTCTAATTCATTTCCTTTCAATGTGTACGAATCCGTGTACCGGGACAGTAGTATTCACTATAATGGAGTAACTACTTCAGTTAAAAGGCAAAGATTGTCAGAATGAATAAAAAAGCAAAACCCAACTATATGCTACCTACAAATTTTAAATATAAAGACACACATAGCTTGAAAGAAAAGATTAAAAAAAGACGCACCAAGGTTAAGTACAAGAAGAGTGGCTACAGTATTATCAGAGATAAAATAAACTTCAAGAAAAAGAGTATTACAAGGGGAAAAAAAAACAAAGCAGAACAGACATTCCATAACAAAAGAAGAATGAACTTACCAGGAAGACTTAATAATCCTAAATGTATATGCATTTACTACTGCAAAGATGTCAACACTCCCCAAACGATCTCTATATATTCAATGCAATCCTAACTAAATTCCTGCAGGTTTTTCCTTTGACAGGCCAAGTCTAAAATTTGTATCAAAATGCCAAATCCAAGAATAGCCAATTGTGCCACCCAGTCAAAATGCCTGATGTGTGTACAACACAATGAGAAGAAACAGGGGACTTCATAGTAAATTCTCAAGAGGCAATGAGACTTGCCACATTTCCTACTTACCTTTCTGTGCTTTACTAGTAAAGCTCCATCAGGCCCAAACACGGCACAGGTGTTATACAATTTCCCAGAATCCTCTTCAGGAATGGAACCTTTTGTTGAGAGGAGAAAGACGCAGGCACAGAAAACATTCTGAATAAAGCATTCTTTTGGAACTGGACAGAGGCTTGATAAACTGTCACTTAGGTCTAACAATACAGTTTACTATCTTCTAAGGGTCATTTAATCAGAACATTTAAAGACTGAATACAATCTTTCAGAGATAAATTCCAGAGTGTAGATAACTAGTGTAGAAAATCATCATTACCAGTTCAGTGTGTGTCCTTCTACAACTAGGTCAGATGCTAAAAACAAGTTTCAAAAATATCCAAACTGTTTCTGAATTCAGCTTTGATCTTGAGCAAAATTTAATCTGAAACACTGAAGCAACATGGGGAATTCACTGTTGCTCAACTTAAATTCACCAGGCCCCCCAGCAATATAGCTGCATCACAAAGACCTCAAGATGGGAATGTAGCCACATGTCTGTCCATCACTCACTTAGTTCCCAGTCCTGCCTCCTCTTGCTTTGCCTTCTTTTTCTACCTCTTACTCATTTCTAATTCTTAACATAGCATAATACAGAAATAATTTTGTTTGCTGTACTTATTAAACAGTTTTACTGTACTGATTTTTTTAAGCAAACAGAACATTTTGTAATTTATTTTACAACCACATAAAGCTACCTTGATGTATGTAGCCTCTTTAAGAAAAACAATCTCCTTAACCCTGTATTAGTAAAATGAAAGACACTCAGGTATGGTTTTTCTTTCCATACTTCCACCTGCGCCTTCACTCCCACTCCTTCTCCAGGGAAAATCATCATTACCAGTTCAGTGTGTGTCCTTCTACAACACTAACTATGTGTTACATGCAAAACTACATATAAAAATCAATAACTTTTTGTGTGGGGGATTAATATGAATGGGAGTACTTGTTCATATCATATTGAACCTGCTCTTTTCCCACTTAACAGTCTGTCTGGATGAGCTCTCCCCTTTACTACATATAGACCTACCTCATTCTTTTCAATGTCTAATTCGTATTCCATGGTTTAAGTGAAACAACAAAAATTATCCATATGCTTTTAATGTTCAGCCATTATACCTTGAGGGTAGAAAGTTACCTCCAATGAGATATATGCTGCACTCCTTTGCTACTTCTGAGAGCTTCTGTGTGGATTCACCGGGAATTTTCTCTGCATATTCAGGAAAATAGTTTGTGCCATATGGAGAATTAAAGCATTCCTAGAATAATGTTAGCAGAGAAAAAGAGAGAAAAAAAACATCAAAACACCCAACCCATTTTAAAGTTCTGCTGTAAGAAGACAGAGCTGCTGCTTCTAGCTCTGCTCTGAAAGGGATAAAACACAGCTGATTAAACACACACACACACACACACACATACACACACAAAAACAGTGAGGTCCCAGGGTTGCAGAGCCTGTAGACACAGGCAGGTCTCAGCAGCTGGGTCAGGTGGGGCTTAGAAGAGACAAGGCACCTGTGCTCAGCCAGACCCTGGTCATCTTGGCAGAAGGTGGGAACGGCCTCTCCCTCGAGTCTACAGGAGAGCTGCACGTTCCCAGGGCACCTAGGCCCACTGCAACGGGCTTACCCTCAGGACTTCGTTAGGATGAATCCATAGGCTCAAAATTATATTAACTATGTAAAGCAATAAAGCCTGGGATTGGAAAAATACAGAAGCTTTGAAAGCCACAGACGTTAAGACATTTCCTCATCGGTAAAACGAACTGTTTTTAAGCTCCCTTTCAGCTCTATCATTCTGATCCTGCGGAACCTCATTCCCCAGGACACGTCTGTCTGCCACAGCTCTGTGATAAAGGAAAAGCAAAATCCACTAGACTTTGACTCTAATTCATTCGCGTTGCATTTATTGAGATTGCCTGTGCACCACACACTGTGCTAAGGAACTCAAGCTTACCAGCTTGTACAAGACGTATGTCAGATAGAGAAGCAGAGCTGAATTCAAGTGCTTCACTCCTGGCCTTTAACTCTAATGCCGGGCAACACAAACCAACCAGAGGCCATGATTAGGGTTCAAGTACAGGTGAGTCCCAGGACTGGAGTGGTAACGAAGATGGGATTAAGATTAAGATCTCAAGCTCCCCTGTTAAAGGTTCCTACTCACTGGCCATATCTGTGATGGCCTGGAGGCCATGATACAAGGCAGCCCTGAAAATTCTCCAGTCAATCTAAGCAGGGTTTTCAAAGGGCTGCCTCTTCCCCATGGAGGGAGAGAGTGGGGGAGGGGCTGTCTGGAATTAGTTCCACCACTGACCCCGCAGGATCCTTCTCTGGAGCTAACCCCCTACTTGATGACAAGCAAATGTGTTGCAACCTTCAGCTGGTTGTTTTAAAAGAAATCACCTAGAAAAGAGATGCAGAATCCTACATTTAGAAAGACACCACAGGCTTCCTAAATATTTCTAATAGTTTCAGTTTTCAAAATTTTTTTTTTTAAATGTTGGAGGTTTAGCTCTAAAATACATCCTGGTCCTATAAAGAATTATACAAGGAGCCCTGGCTGGGTGGCTCAGTTGGCTGGAGCGTCATCCAATACACCAAAAGGTTGCAAGTTCATTCCTAGTCAGGGTGCATATGGGAGGCAACCAGTCAATGATTCTCATCTCTCTCTCTCTCTCTCTCTCTCTCTCTCTCTCTTTCTCTCTCTCAATATCAAGAGAAAACATACCCTGGGGAAAGGATTAAAAAAAAAAAAGAATTATATAAGGAAAGAAGGGAAATATCCGAGGTGGAGTATTTCAGCTTTAGGTAAGTCCTTCAGCCCACTAGGGTTCTGAGCAGAGTAGGTGATCCTCACGTTAAAGACCTATAACCACATGGGCACGTCCAGCCACAGAGGCCCCAGCGAGGGTCACCTTTCAGACAAACATGACACAATCCTGGCCCCCAAAGGGCCTTGCTGGACGCCGGACACAAGAGGAAAACCAGAGCTGGCAGATACTATTCTGTGGGTCCCACGGTTCCCAGAAAGGGGTGGCTCCTCCATACTTACTGGCAGGGAAACAATTTTTGCTCCTTGTGCGGCTGCCTTCCGGACAAGGCCACAAGCTCGAGTGAGATTATCCGATTTGATGGAAGAAACTTGAAGTTGGATGAGGGCCAAGCGGAAAGCTGAAGAAGAAGAGAAAACAAGTGTCAGAAGATCTGACTGCTGAATCAGAGCAGCAGTTCTCACCTGAGGACAACTCCGCCTCCCAGGACATCTGGCAGTGTCTGGAGACGGTCTGGATTGTCACACTGGTGAGGTGCTACTGGCATCTAACAGGAAGAGGTCAGAGATGCCACAATGTATAGGGCAGTCCCTCACAACAAATTACTCAGTCTAAAATTTCAATAATGGTGATGTTGAGAAATCTTGGTAGAGCAACTGCCATGGGCAGAGCCCCAGGCCAAGCACAAGAACCTGAAGTGAAGTAGGCAGGGCCAGATTTTTACTTACAAATGAGAACAGGGCTTGAAGGAAGACAACGAGGTTTGAATACACAACTATTCTTTACTATTTGATCTTGGGCTTCGGCCTACCCCTTATCCGGGTAACTGAGGACATTCCAGTACAGAAGGTGAAATCACACTGGGAATGGAGCAGTGGGTCCATGGGAAGGGGAGACACCTGTCTCAAGTTCCCCAGTAGGGGCTGGGACTCAATGCCTAGGAGTAGCTGCTAGTAGGAGGGGGAGGGTGGCGGCTGGTGGGCTGCAGATGTGCCCAATCACAGGGCAGGGCTCCTGCGCACTTGTGAGGGTCTGTACTCACCCCATGAATATCCCTGTGCCCAAGGGACTGCAACATTAAGTAGCAAATAAAAAACACCACGAGATGTTGAGACACTTCAGAAGGAAAAGCTGACAGCACTTTTTCCTGCGATCTTAACAAGGCTCCACACCTTTACTGGGGACTGAACCCCACAAATTATGTAGCCAGCCCTGCCAACAGATCTGTGGTCAGCCTTAGGGCAAGGAGGTCTGGTTTATTCCTTCCATGGTAGGTACACCCTACATTTGCTTTCCTATATTCTTTAGAGTTCTTTTTCAGCTCTTAAAGTAATCACCTTTTCCTGGTTAATAATTCTTTATATAAAACTGTCCCTGTTCATGTGACTGGTGTGGTTTCTGTGTCCTATGTGGACCCTGACTGATACACAGATTTTGCTCATGGTCTGAGGTGAGGCTGCTAGTTCAGGAATTAGCAGTAATGCCCTGCCCTAGCTTCCCTACCCACCTCTGCTCTACGGTGTGAAAACCCCACCACGAGAGAGCGTGCACTCTGGGTGTCTCCTGAACCTGTGCAAATGTCCTCAGAAGAGGCAGGGCTGACAGACCTGGCCTTTGATGAAGGCCTGTCTGGCTCAGGGTTAACCCTGAAAGGAAAATGCAGACATCGAATTCCTTGGTTTATAAAGTGAGAAGAGCTAAATTTAATCCTGAATGCAGCTTGTTAAACAGTTTCAGAATCTGGATGAAAACAAAGGAAACTAAAATAGGGAACAAAAGCTGGGATTACTTTGGGACAAGCAAATATGTTGAGAACATTACCAGAACATCACACAACCCACTACAGGTCTCCACTGTACCTCAGAAGCTGGGCTTGTCTCTGCTTCAGAGGACTGGGGGATGGGGGTGGGCGCGGGGGGTGAAGTCCACACAGCTA